TCTCTCTCTCTCTCTCTCTCTCTCTCTCTCTCTCTCTCTCTCTCTCTATGACACAGAGGCCAAGTACTGGAAACCAGAGATGGAACAGCCAAAAACTAATACAAAAATGTGAAAGCTGAACAGGGGTGGTGCACCTTTAATCCCAACACCCAGAAGGCAGTGGCAGGGAGACCTCTGAGTTCGAAGCCAACCCTGTCTACAAAACAAGTTCTAGGACAGGCAGTGCTACACAGAGAAACCCTGTCTCAAGGGGTGGGGGGAGGAGTTCAAGTTGTTATCATTCCTACCAAATGGTCTCAAGGGAGCGAGGGAATAATGGCAGAAAAAGAACCAGCAGGTATGAAACCACAAAGGAAGTGCGCAAGGGTGCTGAAGGTGGTTCTGAAAAGAGTAATTTTTATGTGGGTTTGGAGTAAACTTAAATTTGTAGTAAATGCAAAGTGTGAAATGGCCTATGCAACAAAATGAATTATGGTAGGCCACAAAGTTGTTCTAATTGGATAAACCTCTCTCCCTATCTTTATTTGCATGAATACCAACCAGCTACTAGGGCCCACCTGTAAGTTTTTATTTAAAAAAAGAACCTAGGTGCTGGGTGGTGCACACCTTTAATCCCAGCACTCGGGAGGCGGAGGCAGGTGGATCTCTGTGGGTTCGAGGCCAACCTAGTCTACAAGAACTAGTTCCAGGACAGGCTCCAAAGTTACAGAGATACTGTCTCGAAAAAAAGGGAGAAAGAGGAGAGAGGAAGAAAAGGAGGAGGAAGAAGAGGAAGAAGGAGGAGGAGGAGGAAGAGGAGGAGGAGGAAGAGGAGGAGGAGGAGGAAGAATGAACCTAGGAAAAGAAAACATGATGGGAAACGTTAGCCTAAAGTTCTGTGACCCGTGGAGTGACCTGCAGAGGGAGATGTGAGCTTAGAACCGAAGGACAAGGAACCTGTCACACCAATGAGCAGGAGTGGAACACTGTAAAGCTCAGCAGGGGTTTTGACAGGAGTGGATTTTGGTAAAATGCACTAGTCAATATTCAATAAGTGTTACTGAATACAGAATATTCAAATCATTAACAACCAATACGGCATAAGGACCAATAAAATAGAATGGCAGGTCCATCAGAAAAATTACCACCTATATACAGCTGAGATGGTGCACAGCAGATCACTTCTGAGCTTAACAGAAAGTGCCCCCTCCTTTTTGGCCATGCTGGGGATGGAGCTCAGGACCTCGTGCACACGAATAAACAATATACCAACAGTGAAGACAGCAGCACTCAGCCTGTCCCTGACATCAGTACAGTGGGACACAGCTAAGCCTGGAAAAGTCTAATATGCTAAGGACCACTCTCCTTTCAGAGGAAATCGTCTCTGGTCACAGCTCACAACCCATGACTGCAGAGACAGCTTGGACTACATGCTCTCCAGTACCTTCCTAAACACTAGTTTCTCTCCGAACTCACTATGTTGTATTTCCTGTCTCCATCAATTTTTCTAAACAAGGCACATGCCTTCCTGTGAATCTGCAATTTAGCCAGCCTATTCACTGAACAATTTCAATTGCCTAAAATGTGTACTTGGTTAGTTGTTCAACTTATATGCACTCAATAACCACCTTTTTCTTCATTAATAAAACATTTATTTGCCTAGCCTTTTAAAATGTAACTGAATTTAACACTGCTAAAAAGTTTCCAGAACTGTTAAGTTTAACTAGGGAAAGGGGGCTATTTTGAATAATAAAGTTCTAAACTGTACTATTAAACTCTTGGGATTTAAAAAAAGAAAAAAAAACCCTCCAGTCTTTAATGATGAAAACTTGGGTAAAATGTAAGTTGTAGGAAGAAGATATTTTAAGAACATAGTGAAACTCAGTGTGGTAGTGCACACCTTTAATCCCAGCATTCAGAGGCAGAGACCAGTGGATCTCTGTTGAGTTCAACCTAGCTTTTTCTACAAAATGAATTCCAGGACAGCCAGGGCTACACAGAGAAACCCTGTCTTGAATTTAAAAAGAGCAGATTGAGAAAAAAAAAAAACCACTTTGTTATTTAATACTGAAACGTTATATTCCGTATCAGCTTTCCCAGCACGCTATTCTGTAGGTTCATTCTCGTTTGATCACGTCATGCTTGACACTAAAGCTCACTCTCACAATTACTTTACATTCACTACCTATAAAGAAATAAATGCCACTCACTATTGGCAAGCCTTTTCCCTGGAAATACAGAACGACTGAAGGGACGTCTATGGCCAATGTTCTACTAAGGAGAGAAAATGCCCACTATGTAGGCATTCCCTTCCATATTGTCTCTACCCTTTCTGGGATTTGAGGCAATTCTGAGTACGAGAATTACATGTGTGGGCCATGGCTCTGCACTGGCATTCTCACCTGGCAGTGAGGACTAACAAGGGTGGCAATGAATCTCTCTGCTACCACATCTTCTCAGAGTTTTGCTAAGATTCCGTACGAGTTAGGAGTGTTCCTAAGAAAAGTGTATGGAAATATCCCATGAAGAAAAAAAATTATTCAGTTGTTGAAAAAATATAAATCAACGATGAAAACCACCTTTATTTTAACATTAATAAATAACAGTGGGCTTACCAAATGGTAACATTTTAATGTGTCAAGTTTTAGGCATACTGAAAAGAAACTTAAGGTAAAACCAACTACTCAACAGAACTCACTGGGTCCCCACATAAAACTATAATGTTTTCATAATAAAACCTTTAACATTTCCAAAAGAAATGAAGTTCATTCCTTCACCACGCTTGCTTATTCAGAGTCCCAGCAATTTCAGGGAAGTGATTTCTCTCTCCTGCAAGTCTGATGCTGTACAGGGACACACATCCATGTGACTACAACACCACAGCTCAGGCTAACACCGTGAATGGAACGGCATTACGGTATGTCAAACAAAAGAAAACAAAACAACAATGCTATTAGGGCAAACAGAAATGAAAGTAAATATCCAAAGGCTGCTTGCTTCCAGTACCGACTCCACCTGTGCGTCCGACGAGGCCGTCAGTGCTCGAAAAGCAACTCCTACCTCGCAGCACAGGTCTGGTGAATGAAGCTAAGCTACAATTAGATATGGAACGATAAAAAAATCAATCATGATTAATACTGTTCATGAAGACTAATCTAATGAAAACAGTATCATTAGATAATGTGAAAAATACAGACAAATCTGCACAACCCAATGCCTATAAATAGTAAAATCAAAACATATGACTTCCTTATAGAAAGTGTCTCATCTATGCAACTATAAATGTTAAGGATTCTTGCATTTTATAAACACAAGATGGGCTCACTTTGATGATACCAATTTTAAAATTTATAAAATGTCTAAAAAATTCTTTCCACAAAAGTTTATACAGTTTAAAGCTATACACCATCCATAAAACTCAGAAAATGGGAAGAAAAAAATCTTTATAAGATCACATACAAAAGAAGAACTGAAATGTGATTTTATTTAAGGCAATACTGGGCTACTTCACAAACCACCACCTTGAGTATTTACACTGCTCCACTACTAGTTTCTATCACATTGACAAAGGATACTTTAAAATACCAATGTTGAAAATCTTCAATGTAGTAAAGTCTTTATTCACATTTCCATTACATTTCATGGACTCAAAATAACTATCCAATTAGAAGCAATGGAAAAAGGAAAAAAATCTGCAGCTATATGAAACTACTGAAGAATCTGCTCTGATTTCACATGAACACCATCCAGGAAAGGAGGATGGCAAGTTCCCAAAGCCGAGTGTTGCAATGTGCCTACCGTGCGAACCAGCCTGACATCATCTTGTAAATGTTTTATGTTAAAAAAAAAACAACCAAACCTATGGCAGTTTCTAGTTTTAGTTCAAAAAGTTCTTAATTTAAAACAATAAGTTTAAAAACTTGATCACTTCGATAAAATTAAAATTGCAAATATAAATGTATCATTTACTTATTTAGACTTACAGACTGCTGGTGGCAGCAAATGATTTACAATAATAAATATATACAAAAAACTATCTACAGATAAAGAGTACTGCTATACACGAGTGGTGATCTGCTGAGAAGACACCAACCCCACAGATAATCAGTAGAGTTCATGGAAAGGACAACAGGTGACAGATATCTGAGGCTTAACTCAATTATTTACAATGACTGAAGTACTGATTTTGCCCGAGTCCCATAGGGATAAAATAAAGTTCTACATGACAGGTGTCATGGCTTTTTTTTTTCTCCTCATTTTTTTTAAAGCTAGGTTAATTCATGTCAACAAATTAAAAAGCTCACAATTATAGCATGCTTGATGGCTTTCTAGTTAAAATAAACTACAAATGATACGCATTTATAGTACACGAGTCTGCTCTCAGTCCTGCCCTCTGCCCGTGGCTCTACCTATGCTGACGTCTCTCAAAACAGTCCTGTCTGGAGCATTTGATAGCACTTCAAGCTTTTTTAGGCTCACAGTAGGTTTCATTTCCTGAAGCTGTTTTAGGACAAGCTCAGTGCAATCTTTAAGAGTCTTGTCTAAAACAATCTTTACATTCTCACTGCACGGAAGCTTGGAGGGATTGGCAAACCGTACAAAGAGATCACTTTCTTTACAAGAACACGTGTGATTCCCACCAGCCACAGTGGTCTTATCAACATTTCTTCTTGAATTTGAATGGGATCCTCTCTTACTCCCACTGTGTGAATGGTCTCTGTCAGTGTTTTTCTTCTGCTTCACTGCAGACTCTTCAAGAAACTTAAGAAACGACACTTCAAATCCCATCGGCTTGAAGGAGCTCCAGTCAAAGGAGGCAGGATGCTCCTCCGTGGTTTGAACAGCCACAGCAGTCTCTTCGTCCTTCTGTGCAGTATTTACCTCCAATGGTAATTCTGGCTCAGTTTTATCAACCTTTCTTTTTTTATTTTGCACAATGCCTTTTTCCTTATTAACTCTCTTCAAATTACCTGCCTTTTGTTTTTCTGATGGGCAGGAATTACTTTCCTGAAAACCATTATTTACCTTTAAAGTAGTATTAACTTGAGTTTCTACATTTGTGCTATCTTCATTTATTAATTTTGTAATAAAGAGTTCTGTTAGCTCATCCATTTCATCTTTCTCACCTTTTATACTTTCTTCCTGTGAAACGGAAGCTGCTTTTGAATTATCGTTTTTCTCTAACACAAATGCATCAGGATCTTTTGTATCGTCTTTACAATCCTCTTGCTGAGAAGCTTCCTTTCCTTGTGGGTTGCCATACCGCTTGAATACAATAAGAATATTGCGATGTTGTGATGTAAATGCTTTGGACAATTTATGGCACTTATAATGTCTAATGATATTGCTTTCACTTGTAACAACAGAAGTGCACCCCTTTATCATACACGGGTACTGCGTTACAAATTTGCTCGTACACTCTGACAAGGCGTCGTTTCTAGCCTTTATGGAATATACGTGTTTTCCACGTTTTAGAGAATAAGGCTTATTTTCTTCAATCTGCACAACTTTTGCACTCTTGTTTTCAAAATTACTTTTTTTCTTTCGCTTGGTCTTAGGCATTTTTATTCCTTCTTTTCCAGATCTGCTGTGTTTTGATAGCCGATGTTTAGGCTTTGATTTTTCTTGGTTTGCTTTACTTGATATATTTTCCTGACCAGTTAATTTTCTTGGCCGAATCAAATGAGCCTTATGTTTGTCATTATGCTTATTAAAGATGTGTCGGAGGAGATTAGACCGAGTTGCATATATCCGGTCACAGCCTTCACAGTCACACTTGTATATGCCGTCTTCTTCTGATTTACCTGTCCTTGTTCCAATCCCATGGTCTACCTCAAGATGAACAACATAGCCCAGATATGTTGTAAAAAAAGATTTACACTCCAACTGATCACATGGAAATCTGCCAACATCCACAGCAGCAGTCATGCCTTCAATTTCCTCAGGGGTCATTTCATGAAGTTTCATGTAGTGCTGTATCAGGCCAGTGATCGCTTGGAAAATTCTAGAACAGTCACTCACCTGGCAGCGAAATTCTCTCATTGATTGTTTTGTTTCAGTTTCTTCACTTTCTCTGCCAGCTTCACTTTCCTCTTCAATCTCTGCAGAAAATGTAGGAAGATTTGATTTATGTACAGCCTGGTAATGAAGAATCAAGTTTTGCTGTATTGTAAATGCAGCAAAGCATCCCTGGTGAACACAGCAGTAAGGTCTATAGGGACTGTATCTTGCTGGAAACTCAACAGACTGGGAGACTGGGTTCTTCTCTTTTTTTTCTTCCTTTTCTTTTCTATGCCTCTTATTTTTCCTTCCTTTGGCTTTCAGGTTTGTGAGATTTGTATTATATTGTTCGACAGTGACTGTGAGAGGTTGTGAGGAACTTTCTGGTTTCTCAGGACTTTTTTTTTCTGTAAGTTGTTTTTCTGGGATTACTGCTACATTGCCAAGGGCATCATCTGTCCCTGCTGGCAACGCTACCGCAGGCTGTAAATCAGTTTTTACCTCCTCTGCTACGAGTGGCTGTTTTTTCACTTGAGTAATTTGTGGCACTGACAAATTTTCACTCTGAGATTTTCTTCCATATGGTCTTTTTATTTTTAACTTTACCATTTCTTCTGTTGTAAAATGATGCACCAACTGACAGTGTGCCCGGAGATTAGAATTTCTTGTAAATGTTTTGGTACATGTAGGTACTACACATTTAAATGGAGCAAATTTTAACTGATTCTTCTTAATCTCAAGAATCATTTCTTGAGTATACTGATGGATTTTACCATAGTGTTTGAACAGGGCATCCTTTGTCATGGCACTGTAGTTACAGTCTTGGTTTTGACACACAAATGGCTTATTAACTCTGTCATTAAGCTGGATATGTATCATTTCGGAAACTGGCTGGACTGTAATATTTGGAGTTGATTTAGTAGGCGTAGGGGGCAGTGTTACTGATGTGTTTATTAGCATACACTGGGAAGCAGGAGTGGAGAGGTCAGTTTCTAATTTTAAGTTTTGCAAACCTTCTAAAATGTCCTGTATTTGATCCTCCTTGTGTAATGCTTCAGACTGAGGAACGTTACTTTTTGTTGGCACTACAGTTAGGAAAGAGGAACACTGAGAAGAATCAGGTAACTTGTTGTCTTGGGTTGGGCTTTCTGAAGGAAGCGGAATGCTGTAATTTATCTGAGCATCCTGTGGTGTCTCACCAGTACCCTGAGATCCACTTTTTACCTCAAGTATTTGAGAATTCATAGCAGTTTTAATAATTTCAAGAGTCTTTTCAAAGTTCTGTATGACATTGTCTTCAGAAACCTGCAAATCACAATCCACTGATGTGCATGAACTCAAAGCCATCATTCGAGAATCACCATTTTCTGTTTTTAATGTTAAAGGGGTTAACGCTGTGTGTGGGTCAAGACCAGCTTTAAAGTTCTCTTTTACATCAGTTATAAACAAATGATTGTCAATGTTATTTAATTTCTGTGAGAGATTTTCCACCAAAACCCGAGGTTGACAATTTGAAATTATTTCTGAACAAATGTTGGTATCGGGAACCTTAAGGTTCTCTGCTGTAAGTCCCACTGTCAAGTCAGTTGATGCCGCATTCTGGGAAGCACTGGGTACAATGACTGGAGGAGCAGCCTTTTTTCTTCTCTTAGATGCACTGTTTCCTTTTTTATTCAAAGGACTGGATCTTGAATTTTGAGGCCCGCTTATTACAGAAATATGTGTGCTATTGCTGGTAAAATTTTGCGACGGCTCAGTAGAACTAGTGAATGAATCAGTGCACAAACCATTTTCAATAGTCTTTAGCAGTGAATCATTTGTGGGAAAGATAGGCAAGTTGTTACATTCCTTGATGGTGGAAGTTTTGGAATTTGGTGTTCTATTCTGGTCAGTTGGTGAACTGTCTGGGTGGCAAACAGACTGTAACAAGGGTGTCACCGCTGTGCCTGGCATTCCTGCTGAACTTCCTTGTGCTCCATCTGTGACACTGCCTATAGGAACAACCTGAGAAAGCATTTCAGCACTCTCAAACGTGCTGGGAATGCCAGCAGTTTCTAAAGCCTGCTTAATAATTTCACTGCCTTCCTGACTAACACTGGTATTAAAGTTACTCACATCACATCTAGGAAATGCACTTGGTAAAAATGATGAGCGATTTTCCACAGAAAGAAGCTGCAGGAAGGATGGATCTTTAAAACAAGTTTCTGGATTAAAGGTAGATTGGTGTGGCTGTTGCATATTTACTGCACTTGTAGAGAGAATCATGCTGGCCAGAAGGGAAGGCTGTTTGTTGTTCTGTAAAAGTTCCTGTGCAATTTCTGCTCCATCCAGTGGTTTGCAGTAGTCCCGTTTAGACAGGTGTCCACCCAGGGACCTAGGGTTCGTGAAAGCCCTGTAACACCTGCTACAGATAAATTTCCCATCTCTGATAATTGCAGGCCACTTAGCCCTTTTGTTGTGCTTGGGTTTTCTTTCCTTCCCATTTGGGCCTCGACCACGATCCTTCTTCGCCTTCTTAGATGCCGACTGCTGTGCGCTGGCACTGCTGCTGTCGTCTGAAACACTCGCTTGGGAAGAAAAAACCCCATTCTCACTACTGCCTCCTTTTAGAAAAGAGGAATCCATGTTTCCTTCCATCTGCGAGGGATAGTGATTTGTACTATTTTCCAGTTGGGAAAAAACAGAATTATTCTCACTGTTTGCTGGTGAAGGGAAGAGAGAGCTGTTTTCTGTGGGTAAAGGAAGGAAAGGATCTGAGCCGCTGTCAATGTTCAAAGGCAGAACTGTTTTGGTTAGATCTTCCATTTGAGCTGGCAAGGTAGTACTAGACAAATTTTCCATTTGTGAACACAATATACCATCTTGTCCATGCTTATCCTGAGAAGGTAGGTTTGGACTTAGGACACTTTCCACTGAGGGTAACAATGGAGTTGATACATTTGCTAAATGAGCTGGAAAAATGGAAGGCGAGACATGCTGCAACTGGGCTGAACAGGCAGGATTCCCATTGGCTTTGGTCTGTGGTGTAAAAAAAGCATGATTAGAGCTGCTCACTTGGGATGGCAAAAAATAAACACACTTTCCATGATTTGGTGTACTTAAGTTGTTAGCTGTCTGACCTTTTTTAGTTTTGCGCTGCATTTTAAAAGCAGCATATTGGTCAGGGTGTGCTGTTTTCATGTGCTTCCCAATACTCTGGGAGGAGTTATATGTTCGAGTGCACCCCTCGACCTGGCAGCTGAATTTCTGAGCTGGAGCTTTTGGAGGTACTGAGGGAGTTCCCAGAGAACTGCTCAGGCTGAGCTGCGATGGGGCAAACGCAATGCTTTCCAGTGTCTTCAGAGGTAAATCGTAAAGGCTGGGCGATGTCTTCCCATCACCTCCACAGTCAAACTTGGAAGTCTGTGAGCTGTCCAGCAGTCCCGCCTGACTCTGTAGAGAGAAGGTCATCAGCGTGTTCACCTGTCTTTCTAAGTTCTGTGGGTTAAGGTCTCCCATCTTCAGCGATTCAGAATTTGCTAAAGAATTGTGAGTCACATGGGCTTCACTCAGGTGCTCATGCCGTTTCTTCTCTTGGAGACATGGATGACACAAACCGACAGCAGCACCTTCACCCGGCTTACACAAATCTGTCACCAGTGGCTCACCAGCGCCTTCTGTGGTTAGGTTTTCTTGCTTGCCAAAGTCACCCTCAGTGCCATGGTTGAGGGACACCTTGATGGACACGGCCACTTCATTGGTCTGAAGAACAGCAGTATTATCAGGGTTTTCCAGACCATTTGACAATGGTATGTTAGCTTGCCTGAGTTCAGAGGCAGAGCGCTGGCCCGCTTGGCTTTTATCCCAGCCGTCACCTCTTCCTGCTCCTAAGCTCTTTTCAGTGCTATTCTTCTCTGAAGGAAGCTCTGCTCTTTCTCCCCCAGTGCTCCCTTCTGTGCTCCGACTCACATCATTTCCAGACAAACTGAGCTGCTCTTCAGAAGGCAGCACATTTCCAGGAGCACTGTGATCATCCACGTGCTTCTCCATCTCACTCTGAGAACGGTAGACCTTACCACAACCTGTGACCTTACAAGTGTAGGTATTATAATGCTGGGCTTCATGGTCATACAGTAAGTAAGCTTGGGAAAAAATTCTGCCACATTTTGGAAATAAGCACTTTGCTCTAAAGACTTGATGCTCCTTTCGGTGGGCTAACAGCTCTGCATAGCTATTAAAGCCAGCCTTACACTTCATCTGTATACAGATGTACGGCTTACTGCCACAGTGCATTTGTAAATGATCATTGAGATGAGTGACGCTCACAAAGTGCCGTCTACAGTACTGGCAAATGACCTTTTTGCTCTGCATTTCAAGAAAGCGTTTGGCATCTTCATTATCCTTATGACCTTTTACATGAGCAATTAAATTTTTGAAGTACTTAAAGCCCTTTTTACAAAAAGTTACAGGGCAATTAAATTCATTAACGGGTACTGGCTTCTGGACAGGGATCGCCTCTGGCTCATATGATTTATCTTTGTCATCGTTCTCATCGTCTGAACCATCATTGTCATTAAACACGATGAAATCTGTTGAATAAAGACTATTCTTTTTTATGGGCCGTTGTTCCTGTTTGGCCACATTATTAGTGTTAGCCTTTTGACTTTCATGGGTGGCTGTGATCTTAGGAGGCCTTCCCAATCTTCTTAATGGTTTCATGGCTGCTAGTCTCTCTTTACTAGACTGTTTAACATGCAGTGTGACATGAGGGACAAAAGTTTCTTTAGAATTAAAATTCTTTGCGCATATGGGACAGCTGTAAATCCCATCTTTGTAATGTTTTTGAGCATGCCGTACTATTCTGTGCCCAAGGAATTCTTTGTCACATAGCACACAATACTGCATGTAGGCTTGCCAATTCCTAAACCTAGCAGATATGAACCCCCTGTCCTTCAACTGTTTTAGGTCCTTCTGTTGCTTATCATCACCAGAATCCATCAGGAGGCCAGAATTGGTGCCAAGTCCACAAGAAACCCCATTCACAGATGCTTCTCTGCTTTCATCCTGGTAATCTACCTTTTCATACACTTCACAGTCATTGAGTTCATCAATTGAAGACACAATAGACGCCTCTTCTCCCATTAGTGCAAGACACTGTCGTTTTAAGGTTTTCCAATCCCAAAATTCTGGATCAAAGGGCCACTGAGTTTTCAAAACAAGTAAGAGCTCACAGCGTAGAGAATTTGGTATAGGAAGATTCTCTTCATCATATTTCTGGTCCGGCTGGTTGTACAACATCTCCACAGCATAATATGCGTCTACTGTGGGCTCAATAAGAAATTCACTCAGTTGACAAGCACGTTTCACTTCCAGATCATCAGGCAACAAACAGGAAATGGTCTTGCAAACTGATATTTTCACTTCAGTATTTTCTGTAGATTCCAAGCGAAGAGCTTTCACACATAATTCTATGCAAGTAGCAAGTCCAGCCCCTTCAGTCTGTGAAACAAGCAAGAACCAGAGAAGGTTAATCAGAGATTCGTCTGATATAAGCAAACATAGGAATTATTTCACTTTTTTGACTTTTCAGATCCCCTTTATACAGTAGGTCAAAGGGCTGGAGAGAGTGAAAATTCTAGAAAGGCCTTGTGATATTTAGAGAACTCACAATATGATGTGGGAGTGAATGAATTTAAGAAAGGACGCAGAGTCGGAGAACGTACGATAAAAGAGTCTCTCTTGAGGAAATGACTTTTCTAGTGTGAGTGTCAACTCTGTCTCTAAGCAAAAGACAAAGTACAGGCAGAGCTACTGCAGAGAAGAGTCCCAGCGATGCCCCCGCTGAGCAAGAACTCGCTTCAACCCACTGACCACAAATGGTTTTTTTTCTGTGTAGCCCTGACTGTCCTGCAGACTAGGCTGGCCTTGAAATCAGAGAGATCTACCTGCCTCTTCCTCCAGAGTGCTGGGGTTAAAGGCCCAGGCTGGGTCTGACTTCATGATCCTTCTAGATCAGACTTACAAACGATGAGACTGCATTTGTTCACCGAGACACATAGCATAGCAACAGGCTTGTTTTAAAAGTATTTTTATGTTGCAGCTACATGTAAAATCTATACAAATAATGCCACACACACAGAAAGAATCTTACCAAACTTAAGTGTTTTCATTGTGTTTACTGGAAAACTAAGCAACAGGCAACACTCAAATCATAAACTGGTTACGTAACAGGTATATTTTATTTTAAAACATTGAGTTTGAATTCGCACACATTTCCTATAATAAAATGAAATTAAATGAGTGGTTAATTTTTAAGAATCCTCTTAAATCTGAATATTGGTGACTACTGGCAGTACAACTTGAATTTTGAAGTCTTAGGAGTATAAACCTAAGAAGTATGCAATGTAGAAGACAATTTTAGATCTGTCTCTTTAAACTTAACAAACAGTACCTGCAAGGTTCCAACAGAGGCAGACTGTTTTGTTCTGATGATTCCTTTAGCAGTCTTTCCCCCTTCCCCTCTCCTCTCTGTCTGGCACGCACCTCAGACCTAACCGCCTAACTTTCACATTGACTTTAGAGCACCATATGAGATTCCATTCAGCACTTCCTTACCCATCCACAGTGAACATGCCTTAGCCAGGTTTAAAATTCTGTAAATGGCTAACCTGTGTATTTCAGAGCAAATTTAAGCCTACCACGAATACAAAAAGGTTCTCATAGTTTGGCCTCCGCTTTTATCTGTTCTGGCCTTATTTGTCTTTTCTGCTTGTACTAGTATAGTATTTGTATTCTGATAAATAAATCTTGCCTGAAGACCAGAGCAAAGCTAATACCACTAGAGGTCAGGCAATGGTTGATACACACCTTTAATCCTAGGATTTGGGAGAGTCAGGGGGATCTCTGTGAGTTCAAGGCCACTGTGGGCTACACAAGATAAATGCAGAAATAAATTCAGGTGGTAGTGGCCTACACCTTTAATCCCCAGTACTAGGGAGTCATACACCCTTAATCCAAGCACTTGAAGGAATATAAAATGAGAGGAGAGCCTGGTTGATTAGTTTGTGGTCGCCTAGCCTTGGTAGAGTTAAGACTTCGCTAGTGGCTTGGCTCCTTTTTTGTTGTTTTTCTGGGTTGAACCCCAGTATCTGACTCTGGGATTTTTGTTATTAGTGCGATACCCACTAACCAAGCATCTTATAACTCAAGCAAGCTAGGCAGGCTACTGTGCTGACTAGTTTTATATCAATTTGATACAATTTGATCAAAATGATAGGATCATTTTGGGAAAAAGAGCCTCAATTAAGAAAATAACCCCAGTCAATCAGCCTGTGGCCAAGTTTGTTATACATTTTCACGATTGATGATTGATATGGGAGGGCCCAACTCATTGCTGGAACTGTCACTTTTGGGCTTGTGGTCCTGCAAGCTCTAAGAGCAGGTTGAACAAACCAAGTCAGCAACACTCCTCCATGACATCTATTTAAGTTCCTGCCCTGCCTTCCTATGATGGGCTGTGATAAGCAAGTATAAACCAAGCAAGTATAAAACAAGCCTATCTAAGCTGCTTGTGTAATGGCATTTTCCCACAGCCACAGAAACCCTAAATAAGCAGCTACCCATAGTTTCTCAAATATTCCATTCTCTTCTTATGTTTTTCCTGTGAGTATGAACTGTCTTCCCTCCCTCGGTGTAGACTACCTGAGTATTAGCACAGGAAGTGGGTTGACAGCTCCCTGGTGTTGTCACAGAGCAGCTGCTCTATAAGCCACTGGTTATCGCTGCACCAGAGGTCTCAGCATCACACTGCAGCAGGAAGGCCTGGGGTGGACACTGCAGTCACTCGTGTATCAGCCTCCATCAACAGATCATGGAATCTTTAAGGGCAGGGCTATGATGCTCACGTCTATATGAGGAATATGAGGGAAACTATATCACATGAATAAAACTTATTCATGAAACTGCCCTTCTGGATATGGAGCACATCTCCAATCCAAACACTTGGGAGGTAGAGACAGGATGATCCAGAGCTCCTGTATATCAAGTCCCAGGCCAACCTGGGCTATATGAGATCCTGTCTCGATGAATCAAAACATACTACCAACAAAACTGTTTAAGACGTGAGAGCATTCTACTATCTATGTGGTGTAACTATGAAGGACCAACCACTGGGCACATAAAATATGGCAGTCATCTATCAGAGAGAAGCTCTAGTGCAACTTTTCCCAACATGAGGCCCAGCAACCTGGACTAACATGGAAGGAGAAAGGACAAGGTGGACAGTCCTTTTGCACTATCCCTTTAATTGAGACATGAACCGTAGAGTGGTTAAGCTGATCAAGGTAGTCAGTAGTAAGGTAAGACTGATACCTAGGCTAAGCTGACTTCTGGTTCCCAGTTCCTGCTACACTGCAGACTAAGTGAGATGTTAAGTAGTAACACAAGATGACTATTAACACTACACTAATATCCTAGGAAACTTATTGCCCTGTTTCAGTTTATTTTTGACTGTGGTACCATATTATATAAAATGAGTTTAGAAAGGCTGACATAGAGATGAAGAGCTAGAAAGTAAAAAGATATGATTAGCTTTCACTACTGAAAAATATTATTTCAGGACAAAATAAATATAAAAATATATTTAAGACTTACTGACCTAAAACAGGCAATAAAAGACATTTTTTTTAAAGTAGTGGGCTTTATTTTTTATTTCACCTCTCAAAAGAATTTGTACACAATTAGAATAACCCATTGTCATGCTGCATTTCTGGGATCTATGCAATGGTAATACCTTAGAAGATGTCTTCTGTATACTTTAACCAGAAAAGAGCTCAATTCCTCTACAGGTCACCCTAAGAAAATCAGAGCACAAGGCTAGGAGTCAAGCTCAGCGACAAGACTCTGACCTCTGGTAGTGTGTGCGCTCAAACGTGCATCTGTTTACCAGGTTCTTTACTTGCTCACCTCTGCACTCTGCCTATGATGTTTTTACATTTTATTCGCTAGGTTTCTGCATTTCCAACAGTTCTGAGTTGTTTTAAATCTGGTCATTTAAATAGTATCATCCTCAAATCCGTATTTTGAGAGTATTGGCCTCCATAAGCTCAATGGCAGTGGTAATACTAGGCTTTGTTGCAGTAGGTGTTGCTTTGTTGGAGGAGGAATGGAACTGAGGAGGTTGGCTTAGAGTCTCATATATGCTCAAGATACCAGCTAGTGTCTCAGAGCACTTCCTGTTGCCTCAAGATAGAGGACTCTCAATTACTTCTCCAGCACCATGTCTGACTGCATGCAGCCAAGTCCTACCATGATGATGGACTAAACCTGTGAACTGTAATTAAATGTTTCCCTTTACAAGGGTTGCTGTGGTCAGGGACTCACCAGTTAAGAGAACTGGCTGCTCTTCCAGAATCCTTAGTTCAATTCCCAGCACCCACATGACAGCTCACAACGGTCTATAACTCCAGTTTCGGGGTATATCCAACACCATCACATAGAATATATACAGGCAAAACACCAGTGTACGTTAAATAAATAAATAATTTTTGAGGGAAAACAAAGTTGCTGTGGTCATGGTGTCTCTTCACAGCAAAGGCAAAGTATTATCCATGCTTTATTATTTTGTGTCTTTTTTATAGATTTATTCACACTTACATTATTTGTACTACTAGATAAATTTCCATCCATCCTTTCACTTGTGTGCTTATAGTGATACTTTTATGATCTATCAAATGAAGATTGCCTGAAGATCAGAGTGTAACCCTGGTAAGAAAAACTCTGTTTAAGTGTAAATAAAGACATCCCGAGCTATTCGGGGCTACCGGAGTGCAACCCACTTAGTGCTCAGAAGTTTTCCTTGTGCCCATGCCCCTTCTCTGCCTCAGGACCAGAACTTGAGCTGAGGCTAGACCCTGGCATTTTAGGATTCTCTGGATCAAATATTTCAAAGGATTAATAAGAAAAATCAAGGCCCAAAGCACTAAAATGAAATTTTAAAAAAAAATCACTGAAGGAAGTGTCAAAATAAAAAAGTTAAGATGCAGCACAAATTCTAACTGGTATTAATAACAAAAACAGAGTCAAATATAGGGGCTAATGTTGATTCAGAGAAGCAGAGAAACCAGCCACTAGAGTGTTTTTTACCTCTTTCAATGTTCAGACCAAAGGGGTGATCCTGTCCTCAGACTGCATCTCCAGACTCCATCTGTCTCCACCAAACCCCACACTGTACCGAGCCTGTCTCCTTCCACCTTACATTCCTCTTTCACCGAGCCATAATCACTCCCGCCTCCACCTCCCTAGAGCTGGGATTAAAGGTGTGGGATCCTACGTGCTGGGATGACCTTTGTGTGAGCTCTGTTTCTCTTTTAGACAGATTCGATCTCTTGTAGCCCAGGGTAGACTTGAACTAACAGAGGTCCCTCTGCCGCAGTCTCCCGAGTGCAGCGATTAAAGGTGTGTGCCACCACTCTCTGGTTTCTAGTGGCTTAGCTCTGCATGCTGATCTTCAGGCAAGTTCTATTTGTTAACACATAAACAAAAGACCACTATATTAAGATCTTATTAAAGATAATTTACACAATTTAAATTAAGGAATGATACCTTGATTATTCTTACCTCTGAATTAATGACTTTAATCAGGAAGAAAATGTGATATACAGTCTTCGTTAACAAGGACAGCTGACGACACCTCTCAAGGTACACTTGAACTGATGGTTCTACCCTCTGCTGCAGTTTACTCCAGAACAGGGTGAGTTCCCTTAAAAAAACAAAAGTTTGAAAAATAAGCAGAAGGAGTTATTGCAATAATCATGGAGATGTCAGTCCAGCCATTACATCTGAAATTAAAACTTACTTTGTATTCCTAAATACAGGTAAGTCTACACCCTGAATTTCTGAAGACCAAATAAAAATCAGACGCAGTTTTTCACTTTTTTGATAGTATTTTTCAATCTCAAAGTAGTACTCTTTTAGTACGAAAACACCTAACACTTAAAAAGGTTATATCATGAGAACCTTTGGAGTCACACTTGGACATTTAACTACATAATATAAAAATACAAAGTGTGCATAATCTCTAACAAAGATTAAGAACATAAAATATCTAGGATTAGTGGTGTACCTCAGTGCTAGATCCTTACCACCATAACCCCATAAAGCATGGATCTTCTAAATTAAAATGTATCCAGAAGAATGAATGGAAGAACCAACGATGACACAGACCCCAGAAGGAAAACATGCGTTTGTGGCATAAAGGTTAAAAAAAGGAAATTTTAAAAATGAAATTAAAATTTAAGCTTATTTAAATGTAATAACAGAAAATAAAATGATAAACATGCCCACTACATCAACTTCTCTGTCCTTCATTTACTTCCTTGCATGTTAACATTTTCAGCAACTGTTCTCAACACTAGCCTCTGCTAATGTTTTCCTGAGTTTCCAGCTCCTTAAAACTCTGTCCTCTTCACTGCTCACTAAAATCTATTGAGGACTTCAAGATCTGCCTGCAAATTTGGTCATATTCACCTTTCCCGTTCTTTTAAAGTCTCCCCTATTTTGACTCTTGTAAAATTTGAACCTCAAATTTTGTGAATTTCAAAAGTTGTGAATTCTGTAACACATTGCAATTAACTGTAGGCCACATACAGCTTAACTGATCTGTAACATCATTCATCCTAGTGGGGTGTACCACTGCTGCCTGCTCAAAACCACACATTTCTTAGGATGCATCCTCTCTCTAAGCATTAGGTTACTGTGCATAAAAATGGTGTCTGCCATTATTCCCATTTCACCACCTTTCTACTTGAATACATTGTTACCACTGACCCAAAGGTCCTCCTTAACTTTTTATTATACTTGAAACTGATAACTATATTTCTTTTACATTTCTATCACCTCATGCCATATACATAACCTCTAGTGTTGGTCTAAGCTCTGTAATTCCTTCTTCCTGGTATATTATTCTCTCTATGCATTTTCCAAACAATTCCCAAGTGTGTATTTCAAACTATCTTTTAAACATGAAGGTCTTCATGTTGACCTTCAGAATTGATAACAGATTACATCTGTGTATCATAAAAAAATTCACTCTGATGTCTTCTTAAACCAACCTCACAATGATTCTCTAGTTGTCACTGACTTTCATATTATCTCACGCTCCCAAAATGTGCTTATCCTTGATAAACACACTATAGTCATCAATGGACTTTTAGCGCAAGCTCCGCTGTATTAAATATTTAATTTCTATTCACAACAAGAATCAACTGCTTAAGAAAGCCTAGCAACTAAGAACTTGACTGTACTTGGTTATATAGTCATTTATGTACCTTGCCTATTCTATATTCATCCACACGCCATGTATTCCCTAAAAAATATTCTTAAATGCTAGGATGCTGTAAGCCAAATATTCTTTAAAGACTATTAATGCCACTGAGTAAAAACAATAGTTAGACTCAGCACCAATCTAAGGCTGGAATCAAGTACTTTTTAAGTTAACAGAAGCCAATATAAGCTTCAGCCTCCCAAAGGGATACTGTAACAAGTTCTGGGACGGTCCCACACCAGGAAGCATGCACTAAAAGAGAACAACTCGTAAAGAGGAATGACCTCGACAGCTATGGAGTAAATAAACGACATTTCCATATATTAGTGTTAAGTCGCTCAAAATAAACAATATGCAGATAAAAATGTATTTGAATCTGAGGTTGAGCAGCTTCTGACAAAGTAATCCTTATAATTAGCTGTACTGTCTTTAACACAGAGTCTCAAAAACTAAAGCATGAACTATTTGATAATCAGTTTGCACGGATTGTAATACCTGAAAATACATTGTTTGTCTTGATAAGAGAAAAGGGTCTTTAAAAACTTCCAAATAATGTGAATTCTTAAAATCTACTTTGTTTTCTTTTCATTGTTTTTGTCTCTTTTGTAGATAGGGCCCCACTATGTGGCCTTGACTGGAACTCTGAGAGATTGCTTCCCTTTGCCCTCAGAGTAATGGGATTAAAGGTGCACACCATCCTACCTGACCTTTGTTTTCATGTTTAAGCAACTCACCAGGCGCAGTACATATCTCCTTGCTGGAGCTGCCGGGAGAGAAAGGCAGTACACAAAACAAGGGCGTTTTTCTCATCACCCTCAGATTCTAAATTACAGATCATTTCTAATGCATCTTTGCAATCAACTTCTGAAATCTATAAAAAATAAGAAAACAGAAATAGACCATGAAGTGGCTTTAGGATATACAGATAGAAGAACATATTTGACTTTTTCATTTAATAACACAAATCTTTATCAGCAAAATGATATTAACTTATATACCATCAAATTATAATTGATATAATAACTTAGCTAGTGTTTTAAAAATATCCTTTCTTTTTAACTAATAAAAGTAAATATAGTATTCTGGAAGAATATTAAAGAACATAGTATACCAACTATGTTCAGGAAAGTATGAATGCTCAGTAAATAAGTGTCAATCATAAACATCCTTTATCCATTAAATTGGATCCACTCATTACCCAAAAAAAGAAAACCAGTGCATTTTTACTATTTAAATTACTACGAGAACCAGAAGACAGACATGGAGAATGTATTGGCTATTGACTAATAAACTAAATGTCTACTCATCCTAAGGAAAGAAATAATCCAAAACATTGTATAAGCTTTATCACATTAAAAATAAGATCACACATCTCTCCTGCGGCTTTTCATACAAACATATTCCATTTCAAAGCTTCTCTAGAAATTCATACAATCTTGATAAAGGCAACCTGAATCATTTAAAAACATATAATCTTTACACACACACACACACACACACACACACACACACACACACACACACACCTCAGAATTAACCAAAGACTTCTAGAATTTGCCACAAAACAGGATAGGAAGATTCAATTCCCCGTGATATAAATGAGATGAGATCATTAGCATCCTCGTAAGTGCTTCTCTCTGTAGATCATCTCACAGCCCATCAAATACAAGGCGAGCAAAAGGGAGTGTGCAGTGTGCTGTGTTTACATGGAGGAAGGTGTGATTCTAGGCTTCATCCATGGTCAGGATGAATGAAAGCTGTCTGACAATTCATTTGAGAGGTTCCATTATATGAAACTGGGCTAGGAAGCATTAATAAGAGGCAGGGCATGGTGGTGTTTGCTGACAAATCCCAGCGCTCAGGAGGCATAGGGCAAGAAGAGCGGAAGTTCTAGGACAGGCTAGATTATAAAACAAAACAGAATAAACATAACTGCCATTTTTGTGATTTAGTGATAATTTTAAAGACCTTAAAGTGATTTTGTTTTTGTTTTGTGAGCACCTACATGCACTTAATGTGTGCCTCGTGTCAGGAGACCAGAAGAAGGAACCCAATTTCATGGAACTAAAATTATGGATAGAGTTATGGATAGAGTTATCCTGTGGGCTAGAAAGCAAACCCAAGTCCCTTATAGGAGCATTAAGTGCTCTTAATTACTCAGCCTTTTTAAATAAGTATGAAATTAGTAGCTGCGCTTTGGCTGAAGCTTACACGGTGGTCAGACACTGTAATCCCCCACTAGTCTGAGGAGCACCTGTCAGTACCCTAGTTCAGTGAGTGATCTTCCATTGCTCCTGTCAGAGACACTGCAGCAAATCTGTCTGTAAGAGACCCTATTTACACAGGCCAACAAAAACGGCGACTAAAAGATATATAATTATACAATCAATATTTTAAAATATCTACAATAAGTTAAACACAATATCAGACATTTCATGTATATTATTTAATTCTAATTTTATCACTAGACAGAAAGTATAGCATCTTATGGAAAAGACGTAACTTGCTTATGACAATTAAGAACTAGACCCATAAATCAAAAAAAAAAAACTTTATCAGACGGACATCAAAGACGTAAACTCTTGTTATTTTAATTATTTTTATGTTTTGTTAATTTCAAATAATTAATATACATTCAAGATGGCAAACGTCAGTCAGACAAACTGCAAAGTTTTTTTTTTAACTTTTCCATAACATGTTAATAACAGCAATGTGAGCAAACTCTTTTGGGGGGCCAGTTTCCTAAGAATTAGCACGGAAAATCAACACAGGAGCTTGCTGGAGAGATACTACCACAGGCTGGGTGTCACTTAAAGCAAAATTGTTTGGAACCATATATGCATCACCTTTTGGATTTTTAAAATTATTTACATAGATACAGTTAAGATATTGGTTCTGGAACCCAAATCTGAACATAACATTTTGTTCCACATCTTATCCACACTGCCTGCGCATCATTACCCAGTGCAGTGACATCTTTAATGTCCCATGTCTCTCTGTGATCCATCACATGATGGCAGATGTGGTCTGTGCTCAAATACATTTAGAGACAATTCAGACCTCAGATTTGCTGACTAGGGTTACAAAAGGGGGTTTAAACTACTCAAAATTATAAGTTTATTGGCAGAATCAAGACTTCAAAACAGGCTTCAATTCAGTCTGTCCTCATCCCAGACCCCACAGGTTGAAGCATACTGAGGTCCTATAGTGCTAACATTGGTTTTTATTTGTTCATGTTTTTAAAAGTCTGTATCTTTTGAAAATCTGATTTATTTGAAATTCATTGTTTCTTTTAGAATTTTTGATTCCTGTTGAAAGCTCAGTGGCACCAAATGTATGATTATTTCCCCAATGAAATCACGTCCATCAAATTAGCTCCTCCTAAAATGCATGCTTTAGTGTACATATTTATTCATACACACACACACACACACACACACACACACACACACACCCCACACTTGTATGTGTAAATACAATATGCCAACCAAAACAGCTGGTAGCCTCAAAATACATAAAAAAACTACAATTAAAAGATATTATTATTATTACTATTACTGTTGCTGGGGGCTCCTATGCTGTGCACGGCTGGTATTGCTTCTCTTCTTTCACTTTTTCAGAGGTTCTAGGGATTAAACTCAGGTTTCCAGGCTTTTATGGAACACAATCTTGCTCAAATGTACTTCTTGTAGTTGTTAGCTAGATGCTAAGTTTTAATAACAAATAGAGATATTTCATATCCCTGATTTGTCAGGAGGTGACCTCTTTATGCTATGCTGAATTTAAAACAAAAATATAATTTCAGAATGGAAATAATATTTTTGTTTTCATATGTTTCTGTGTTGCTAATAAGCATACAGAACACTGAGCAGTACTTCATGCTTACCAATTATATTTAATATATTAGTACTAATTATATTTAAATAGCTTCAACAGTTTGCTTACCAAAATAAAATTATGTTTCATACAGACAAGAATTTTAATGGCCAAACTTGTTATTATACCTGAAGAAACATAAAAATCACACAACTAGCAAATATTTCTAAATCAGCAATCTCTAGTGTCAGGAAAGAAGGAATTTCATGAACTGTTTCCAGAGGGCACATGTTGCCATATTTTTTTTTCCTAAATAATCAGTCCCTACCAAATTTAAAATGTGTAGACTCTTTGTTGCAATTTTTGATTTTTTTTTTAAAGACAGAGAATAACTTAGACTGAATTTGCAATCCTCCTGCCTCAACCCCAGTGTTGGGATTATAGATCTGTGCCACAATTCCCATGTCTAAAATATGTAGATTTTCAGATTCAATTCCACTTCTGTAAACTAAATATATCAGCATATCTGACAGGCACACTTCCACATCATGCCCTGTCATTCCCATGCCAACACCCACACAGACTACAAAGAGTTTTTTTAAATTATCTTAATCAAGATAGAAACGTAATTAATATACTTTTCTTACATTTTTCTGTGCACAAGCACTTTTTATGTACTCAAAACACATACATTCCTTTACTGACAGCACTTTCCTTTCTTTTACTGACATCTTTCCTCTGGTTCGTGGACATTTAATAACTTCATGGTTCTACAATGTGGGTTTATAGAATATTTAGCCAGTTGGGTGAATACTGTCCTGTAGGTGAACTTTCTTGCATTCTTTCACACTCGCCCTCCCAGAGAAGTGCAAAGATGATGATTAGAGAGAAAGCAAGGCACAAGGAAGCAAAAAGGGGGGGGGGCGCCAACCCAAAACCTTACATGTTTATTCTAAAGAAAAAACTCAACTAAAAACTAGATGTAAGCTAATGCTGCCAAGAATTTCTACCACCTATGCCAAGAATTCAAGAAAAGCTCATTATTTCAAGAGAAGTCAGATGAAAATTCCTTTCTCATAGCCCCATAAGTCTGACATCTACCAGAAACAGTGCTATTACCACCAGGAAATAGTTAATTTCTTGTCTATAAACTCACATTGACAAGAATGTCCTCAGGACTATCATTCAATCTATCCCCGTATTCTCTACAGAACATGATTTTAAACTCAAATCTTATGTCAAGCAAAAGAAAAAATGAACAAGAAGTGTATATGAGAAGTGGAGAACTAACATGTTTGTGAACACAAATCCCTAAGTGGGGTCTAAGACGTACTGGAAAGTTCCAAGGTGCAGATGACATGACCACTTTTCTCATGTAGCCAAAATAATAAGTCCGGCTTAAGAGCAATTTTAAACATTTTCCTCATATGGGACAGCAAATAACAAGTTTCAAATATTTAACATAAATACTACAAAAGCAATCTATTTCAAGAAAAAAAAAGATGTTTAACAAGGACATATCCATATACAGAGACAGAGATCTCAGTGAACCACACTTAAGAACAAGAAGGAAAAAACAAAATAATTAGTTCTACCTGCTTAATAAAAGAAAAGGAGAATAGTATCACTGCACACATCAGAGGGACCCAGGATCCCCAGGTATGGGAATCTCTCTGGAGTCTGTCCCAGAGCAGGGTGTTGCTGCTTAACAAGATACTGACACCAAAAGGAAGTATGACTTGAGTAGCTCAAGATCTGGTTATTTAAAGATCTGGGAACACTGAGACTACAAACTCAGTCTTCAGCTTCAAAAGTAATCTAATGACCACACCCTTAGATAGCTCTCCATTAAACAGCTTCTTTAGTGCAGGGACCACACAATGTTTGTTGTTCACCCCTCCTACCCACTGTATAGAACACATACTGTACAATCAATGCCACACATGTCAAAGGCTATTAAAAGAAATTTTCATATTTGTCAGTTAAGTTGTCATTTTCAACTAATACGAAAGCTTCAGTTTTAAATTTGCTCTCCTATATAGCAACAGGAAAATGTAAATTATGAAACTAAAAGAAACAGTAAAGAGAAGTAGTTATAGGTTAGACTAATAGAATAATGTCCAAGACTGGGAACCCAGATTTCACTTTATCCAGCTTGGAAACTGGCTGGAACAACTCTCCCTAAGTTTTCAAGTATCTTCACCATATACAAGTAGCTTATTTATCATCTGACTTCTCAATTTTACATTCACAAGAAAAAGCACATGGACATCACAGGCAATCTCTACCCTCAGGGGGCATTACTTCTCAGGCAACCAGGCTCTGAACTCTAATCATAGGCTTCTCTGTCTTCTAGGGAGTATACATATGATGTGTGTGATAACCGTGTTCTCCATCTCGTATTTCAGCCTTCAAGTCCTTTAATATAAAAACCCATAGAAAGTTCCTTAACTCTTGAGAATTTTCTATCAGTATACACTGAAATATGACCATGACTATCCTCATTTCCCTTCCCCAATTTCCCCATTCTTAAGAAACTAACAAACCCAGAGTCCAGTGAGTGCTGCCTCTGTGTGTATGAGTGTGAGGCTGGTCACTGCAGCCTGGGATTAGGTCAGCACTTCTCCCTTGTCCCCTTTCACTAGCTACACACTGCTAATGGCTCTCAGTAAGGACTGTAATCTAGAGATAGCCTGCCCCATTTTGGCCAGAATCTTGGCAGGTTTGACCTCCTCGATTGCTTTCTTGTCTATTTACTGCTCTTACACAGGAGAGATGTAAGACCCTTGAAAACAGTGCTCATAGAGTACTATACCAATGAACACCCACAGTTCAATACACTATTAATCTTTACCTAAGTTTTTAAAACAAATTGCTATCTCAACTTTTAACTATAAAATTGAGTGCACAAAAATGCAGAATTTTCTTTTAGTAATAATTATACTTCCTAGTTTTTGTGTAAATTCTGTACTTTCTACCAAATAAAGCTAAAATAGAATTTTATTAAAAAATAACATTACAGAGAGGCAGAGGTAGGCAGATCTCTGTGAGTATGAAGCCAGCCTGGTCTACAAGAGCTAGTTCCAGGACAGGCACCAAAGCTACAGAGAATCCCTGTCTCAAAAAAAATAAAATAATATAAAATAATGCATTTGAGCCATGTAATTGACTGCCCAGTGCAGTTGCAGGAAAAGGATTTGCATATGGAGCATTTCTTCTGTCCTCAGACCACAATAGGAAGAATAAATTATTGTGTACACTGCAAGGGGCACAGCATATGCAATCAGCTGTTGGAGCCACCGCTATGAAAATGGCCTGATTGTGGTAGCAGGAGTGGTTTGTAATTGCCCAGCATGTGTAAATTAATGTCATGTGAATGAACACAGACCAGATTGTGTGGGTGTCCAGATTAGGAAGGTTATCTTGAGTCAAGGAACATTGAATTTGCAATTAGGCAACTTTCCTCTGCAGATATGATTGATCTTTTTTTATATTTACTGAACTCTACAATTTTCTTTGCTTCACTCCCTGCCTCTCCACTCCCCTCTTCAACACTCTCCCAAGGTCCCCATGCACCCAATTTACTCAGAAGATCTTGTCTTTTTATACATTTCAAAATAAAATAAAAAAAAATAACATTACATCAAATAAGCAAATAACATTTACTTTTTGAGTGCTATATTTTGTTATACAACATTGTGTGTTTATTTACACAGGGTCTACAAATAGAGATAATTTATATGACTTCTACCTAGGATTACTCTTCTTGTTAAATTAAGTCAGTTAAAAATATGTTATTTTGACATCAAATAAAATGAAGTTACGGCATAAATACTGCCCAAAAAATGCCTTGAGACTATTAAGACATATCATATTTCCTTTAATTTAGCCAACATGAATTATCCACATCTTTTAAGTTAGAAGCAGCTTAGGTTCCATTGCCCTTACGAAGGAGCATGCCACACTATAAGACAGACAAATGTGCTCCGTTATTTACAAGGAAGGAAGTCCACAACATTCTCATCTAGATCTAATTAAAAATAATCTATCCACTTTAAAAAATAATTACTAACAAAAAGTATACTCACCTCTTCGATTAGCTTTTCATTTGGTGAAGATGTGCAAAGACAGACAAGGTAAGTTTGCTTAAAACTCCCTTTTGTACCAATCTCTGGATGCTCAGAACACAGCTTTGCTAGAGCAGTGGCTTGACTTAACTGATTTGATTTGATTAGATGTTTAATTCTCATATCCAACAAGATGGGGCCCTCAAATGCTAAAAATTCATTCACTTAAAAAAACAAGACATAATAAATTATTAACATTTGGTAATTCATCTGCAATACAAATACTTAGAAGCAATTTTTTAAAACACAGAAACTAAAACTTGTCCCTTTTGGCAATTTTCTATTACTGTCAGCAAGGATAGCACACAATATTTGACTTTTTATAAGTTAAGAAGAGGTCCCACTCCCCACCCAACCCCCTTAAAACACAGTCTTACTAAGTAATTCAGGCTGCCCTGAACTCTCTATGTAGCCCAGGCTGGCTTAAAACTTGTGAGCCACCTGTCTCGGTATCTCAAATGTCACAGTTACAGGCATGTGATGCCATACCAGGCTTGCCAACTTTCTGTTTGTTTTGTTTTTGTAACAGAGTTTCTTTGTGTAGATTTGCTATCTGGGAAGTAGCTGAAGACCAGGCTGGCCTCAAACTCACAGAGATCCAACTGCCAGTGCCTCCTGAGTGCTGGGATAAAGGCATGGGATATATATATATATATATATATACCTATATATATATATATATATATATTGACAGCAAATGCTTTTTATTCTTAAAACACCATTTAGAAGGGGTTGAAGAAACCAGTTTGGAAGGGGGGTAGGGATGGAGTGGGGAAACAGGATCTCACTGTATAGCCCTGGCAAGTTTGGAACTTACTATGTAAACCAGGTTGGTCTTGAACTCAAGGAAGTTCTCCTGTCTCTGCCTCCAGATTAAAAGTGTGGACCACCATACCCATCTTGAATAAACTTGATGATATAAATATTTCTCCATTGAATTCTTTTAAAATTACAATAAATTATTCTTCCTAATATACTTATTCTTAAATAACCCAGGGCACCACACAATTATCTGGGTAATAATAAAGAGTACTTGGAAAATCTAGAATAAGAAATTCAACTAATACTTGGTTCAATGTTGACAATGTATTTACTCTTTTACAAAGAGGAAGTCTGTCTTTTTAATAAATGCTTAAAATAACAAAAATATGCACAAAAATAGTAAGGGGGAAAGTCTTCCAAGGGACAAATCTCTTAAATAAATTTGTAATTTTATCTATTTCAGTAAATACTTACATACAATAAATTTCTATTCTGTTCAAATCTGTACTCTTTTGGTTCTCCACAACATCAAGTCATTTTGTATCTCTGAAGGAGAATTTATCTTTTAATACTGTTTTTTTTTTAAATATTTTCTGTTTGCTTGTTTTTTTCAAGACAGGGTTTCTCTGTATTGAAGCTCACTTTTAGAGCAGGCTGAACTCAAATGCACAGGTGTCTACCTGTCTTTGCCTCCTTAGTGCTGGAATTAAAGGCATGAGCCACCAGGCCAGGCAACTATGAATTTAAACGGTTCCCTAAGTTTTCTGTACCTGAATAAAAATCATGTTTGAACATTCATTTCTTAATGGCTTGCTTGAAGCTTTTAAAAAACTTCTAGGAACAAACAACTGAAATGTTCTGTAGATGAAACACTATTTTATTTAATTATGAATTCATGGAAGATGTGTGCAATGGGAATCTAGTAGACTCCTTGTATCTACTATAAATACTAGAATCTAACAGTTGTTTTTGTATCTAGGGAAGCAGTCGAATGCACTAAGTGTATGAAGAAATCATAATAGAGAACCGTTTTCTATGATTTACAAAGTGGTTTTTCTGAAGGGATTTTCCATGCGTTGTGAGACTATCCAGGCACACGTGGAGGTCTTGAATTACTAAGTACTGCACACAGTACACAACAAAGACTAAAGGTTGAGGGTATGAAGATTTTTTCAGAGAACATACAGAATATATCAAAGAGGCTTTGGTCATGAGGAACTTATACCCCAAACACAAGCTTTGTGTGTGATCAATAACTATGTTTCAGAACAGAGGCTCAGGGTTCAGTTCACAGAAACTGTTCCTCTTGCTGCCAGAGGGCCTAAAACTATATTCTTGAATGAATCTCCTCTGAACACTTGCGGAACACAGCACGGGACAGAGGTATCTAGGAGCGTGTGCGGCGGGCCTTCGTTTCCATCACCCTATGCTCCCTTCTAGAAGCACTAGTTCTACTTTGTCTCTGCTCTACACGCTGCACAGCACCACAACTGTGACTTTTCAGTATCAAAGTCCTAAGTAATTAGGCAAATACTAAATTCCAAATTTAAACCTTTACTTCAGCCCAGACCTCTATACTAGCCACTGAACACGAATAAATAGATGTAAAAGTATCTAGTGCCTCAGTACCTGACATGAATGTAAAACGTTTCTTTTTTTTAGTTCTATGTGATCCAGCTGGGACATTTATAACAATATCTTTTCAATTAAGTTCACTACCAAAACAAACTCTAATTAAATAAAGTTATTCTGACTATTTATGAGTAACTGACGTTAAGAAACACAGCTTTGTGCCACCCTCCCCACTTTTTCCAAAAGGAAATTCCAGAAATTCAAAGTCTGGGAATTATTACAAATTCTCCCATGGAAACTCATGATCAATAGAATCGGGAAGATAATGTTAAAGGAAAAATTTCAAAGTGGCAAGTATCTAATAAAACTGATAATATTTCCTAAAAGGCCAAATTTAAATAATCTCTAAAATGATTTTGAAACAAGAATATTTCTGACAACCTGTGCAGAATACTGTGTTAGATCAGTGCCTTAAAAAAAATAACAATTAGGGCAAGAGAGTTGGCTGAGCAGTAGGAGCACTTGCTGCTGTCCAGGAAGGTCTGTATTCTACCCCCAGGGTCACACAGCAGTTCACAATCATCTAACTCCAGTCCCAGGAAGTCGGATGCCCTCTTCTAGTCTCCCCGGGCGATAGGGACACACGTGGAGCACATGCAAACATGCAAGCACAACATACACACAAAATAGCATAATAAATAAAACCATTTTTAAACAAATATTAGTCTTAACATTTTTAAGTCATAGCTACTTATGATTTAATGATGGGAAATCAATAGCATTTATTGATTTCTAAGAAGCATAGAACACTAGAGCAGAAGTGACTTTACATGGGAATGCAGCTCTGCCATTTGGCAAAATGGGTAAACCAAGGCCCACAGAAAGGGAATAACTTCTTGAAATAATAAAATCATTTAATGATAAACCAAGATAAGAATGTGTTTTCTGACTTCTAATTTTATAATTTTCTGTAGGATCAGAGAAAAGAAACTTCTACCTGACCACTGTACCTACTTATAATTTCATAAATTACACCTTTCAACTATGCAGAGTTGTAAAGCAGAGTGAGCTTTAAAAAGAAAGTTATAGATCCCAACTAGCGCTTCAGATGAAGGCAGCCCTGGCACTGCTCAGCTAAGGTCACTTCTCCACACTCCTAACCCTATCCTGTTCCTCTTCCACTGCCCCCTTCCCTCACTACTCTGCCTCATCCACTACCTCTCACCTCTGGGGCGGCTCTCCTTCCCTCTAGGATGCGGTGCTACCAAAGGGGCCGTGTGCTTCAGCTTGCACCGAGGAGACTTTTATGGTCTTTATCTCTGAAAACCTAGATACAGCAAGAGTTTTTCTCCTTCTTTCATGCTGTTCATACTCACACATCATAAAAAATAAAACATTTTAATTGTAGTCATGTTTAATCTGTCTACTTTCTCTGCATCTGCATACTTCATGAGAAAAGGTTTTAACTGGTTTCAAGTCTATCAACACAGCCAAGTAACAAAATGGCGATCTAAGTGTATGATATTCAACCAACTTAATTAAAGACTTCTTTCCATAAAAATGTCACTTTTATAACATTAAAAAATTACCCAGGTATGGTGGCATACACCTTTAATCCAAACATTTGGGAGGCAGAGGAAGATAAAGTAAGTCCAGACAGGACTACAAAGGCTTTGTCTCAAAAGGGGGGAAGGGAGAAGAGGAGGAGGAAGCGATGGAGAAGGAAAAGGAGTGGAAGAAACGGAAATGGAAAAAATATTAAAGATTTTTTGCAAGTGATAAATAAACCACAGCACAAATACTGTGTTCTGTGTAAAATAGTTTGTCCCACTGATCTTGTTTCCTCACCAAAAAATTATGGAGCCAACTTCTAAGTGCATGCTCTCACACCTAGGTCTAACAACTGTTTTGCAGTGTCTTTGCCACCCTGCTGCAGAAGGATATCCAAGAGCACACTAAAGAGCTCCCGCTGAGCATGAGAGCTAATGCCCAGACGAACCCTAGTATTCAAAGGCTGAAGCAGGAAGACTGTCATGTGCTACAGGACTGCCCAGGTTACACATAAGTTCTAGTCCTGTCTGGGGTACACAGTATATAGTGAGACTCAAAAACAAAACAACAACAACAAAAAAGCAAAAGAAGTGAGAAAACTCACAAACAAAGGGGGGAAAAAATCTATACAGTATGGATCATCCCCATGCTTTTATCTGCTTAGCAGTGCTCAACTCAGAAACTGAAGAGTCAACCCCAGAAAAGGTTTCCCCTGACTAAAATCCCAAGAGATCCAATTCATCCAACCCACTGACCGACCACAAACAAGGTTTCCTCACCTTCAACAGCATTCTCACCACTTCAATACATTCTTATTTACGAATCTAGGATATGGGGGTGGTTTTTGTTGTTTGTCAAGCTTTTTAATTCACTCGGAGAACTTTAGACATGTATCTGATAGTCTGATCATATTCACGCCTTCCCAGATTGTGCTCCCCACTTCATCTAGAACCCTTTCCAACACAATGTCTTTCTATTGTCACGTCATTAAAAAATCAGTATGTGCTAGTGTTTGTGGGTGTGCATGATAGGTATGTATGTGTGTGTATATATGTGTGTACGTGATGGATGTGTTTGTGTATGTCTGTATGATTTTGCATGTACACATGTAGAGATCAGAGGACAGTTTTGTAGAGTGAGTTATTTTCCACCTTTATGTGGGAGTGCAGGGTATCAAATTCAGAGCTTGCCAGACTTGTATAGCAGATGCCTGCTCTGCTGAGCCACCTTGCCAGTTTTAGCCTTTTACCCTCTTTGTTAGGTACGTTTGTTTCTTCAG